GGGTACATCGGTAGAGGTAGACCTAGAAAGAGATGGATGGATTGTGTAAAAGGTGACATGATCGAAAAGGGAGTGATGACTGAGATGACGTATGATAGAGTTATGTGGAGGACAAAAAACTGTTGCGCCGACCCTACGGGAGTAGGATAAGGAGATGATGATGAGTCTGTCAATTGTTATTAAATCAAACATTTAATTATAATTCTTAACTCTACTATTATGTTTCAAAAACTTTCATTTCACCAGTACCACTGACATAAATTCAACTTTATTGTGTGAAACATTCACAATTAGTGACGCAACAAATCCATTGTCAATGCGACGTTCAATTGTAGGAACTAAAATGATGAAATACAAAGTGATTTCCGCGGACATCACCGGATCGCTTGTCCGTGCTCACCAGACCAAATACAATACGGTAAACGAACGGTTATACGAAGCTACAATGTTCTGCTGCATTCTGTACATCAGAAATAAACTACAAAAAATATTGTACAAAAATTAAATTCAAATTAAATGGGTAGGAAATAAAGTTCCTCAACTGAAAAAACTATTTACATGACTTGATTCGGCCAGATGCGGACAATTTACTTTATCATACGTTACCTATATTTATAATCTACAGATCTGTATTAAAACCCTTTTCTATATGACCTGTACCTACTCTAATATAATTCTACAATTCAATTTATACCCCTAACTCGAATGTAACAAATATAAAATGGAAAAAATTTTCCAATATACACAACGAGGTTTAGAGCGAAAATGAGCAAATAGTGAAATAGAAATTCGAACGCCAGACATTCCAAAATGGATGTCAACGTATACGATGGACGTTTTATCAACAAATATTTGTATTTGGTTTGATGTTGCCAGCGGATTGTGCTCTGTCACCACAAATATCTGTTTGTGATGTGCGACTAAGTATTACATAATATTCAATCACTTCAGAAAATTTATTTAAATGTATGCTAGATTTATTTTAATTTTCGATAATAAATTAAGCTTAACATATAGGAGAGATAAATATACGAAATGTGTATTCATTTCCTTACCTTTCATATATACCTTCTTTGTCTTCTTTCTTTTCGATTGTTCTATCGCTGAGTGAATACTTTATTTAGCGATTTCTAGTACACAAGTAAATCAAAACCGGAAATTCATCGGTTGGAGTCGGTTGAGACAACCGTTAGATCATCAGTGCGTCGCACAGCCAAGCCGCTAGTCCGCTACTCTAGCCTACTTAATGCATAATTAACTACCTGATTGAACGATGGACGGCCGCTTACTGTCCACCACTTACCACTGCCACTTACGTTAGTCATGGGTTCGAATTCCAAAACATACGTGAGAATGTTGAGTCATTGGTAAAGTATAGAATAGTGCAAAAGATCTAAACACGAGTATTAACTTCAAAACTGTAAAAAACAGCTGTTACTAATTATGAAGACGTAAGTTAATTAAGGGTTTTTATCATATATCAATATTTAAAATCAAGATGTACCTATATGTATTTCGTAAAAAGATAAAAAATGTTTCGAGGTAGAGATTATGGAGTAAATCAAATTGAGATAAAACTTTCACTGGCGCGTGATTGTTAGCTAAAATGTTTGTTCACATCAATCTTAATATGCGATGTTGGCGACATCGGCAAAGTACAGCCAGCTCGGTGACGTCATCTCTTTAATGGAATATTGTGATACCAACACTATAAAAATTATGAACTTTTATTTATTACGCAGTAACTATTACGAGTACTACACTTATTAAGTTTCTATGTAATAATACAGCTTGAAGAAAAACAATGATGATAGTATGATTAAGCAATCCCAATAACTTTTGCGATAGCTAACGAGAGTAACAATTTTGCGGTGTATTCAATTAAACACTAATATACGTGTTTTCTAACTATTTTCTGTAGTATTAATAATGTCAGGAAAAACAATTGTCATTAGTACCATAGATATAGTAAACTTGACCTTCGTAACAATGTTATTAAAAGTTTTCTTATTTAATTTAGTAGAAAACGTATATAAATACTCTTAAACTTTAGTACACAATACTACCGGAAGTGACGTATTGTTATAGCAACTTCCTTCCATCCATTGTCCTACGAACGTAATACATGTACAGTCAGAGACATAATCAGTTTGCTACAATTGTGGCCGAGCACCACTGTTTTAAAACTGGGAATAATAAATGTGGAAACTACTACCAAAGTTAGCGAAGGCCACATTTTAATGTAAATCAAAGCCTTAGATTATTTAACACTAGGCTGATCCAAATATTATGGCAATGGTGTCCATAATTATTCTACATACTGTACTCATACTCATTATTTGTCGCATCGACTGTACTTTTTGTTACGCGTTCTACCATTGTATTGTAATTCATTCCCATTTTATTCGTAACTCTATCTGGTTACTGATTACTTCGTAAAATCAGTATCTAACAAATAATTAAACTCTGATTTGTAAAACTTTTAAGCTGCGTTTGTTTTTACTGAGTTAGGCACTTAGTTAAGCATTTCCACTAGGATACTACTCATAATAATACACAGTAGATAATGTCAAATCCGTGATATCAAAGTTAGTGATTTGCATTATTTTCACCAGGTTAATCTGAAATCTTTATACCTAATTCTTATTTTAAATTCTGGTAACTGTACAAAAAAGAAATGTGGTAATACAGAAATAGTGTACTATCTGTTGCTTGCAAGTTCCACCACGTGAAATTAAAAAAATAAGAAAACAGTCTTTACTCACTGATAACGTAGCTTTTAAATGGTAAAAGAATTTTTGAAATCAGCCCAGTAGTTATTGAGTTATATCAATACATACAAAAATACAAATCTTTCCTCTTTAAAATATTAGTATAGAAAAAGGCATGTGGAACTGCGTATGACACGTGGCCACACACGTGTCGTTGTCGTTCACGTCACATGCTATTCCCGGGATAGTTTCATGGCACTTGTATGTTGAAAATAAGCCAAAATTCTTTTTAAAACTAGCTAAAGGCTGATTTCTCCCTTGCCAATTTTGTTATACTCTTTAATTTAAAATTTCTCTTGTTTGTGTTAAATGTGAATTCACATTGACATTTTAAAACACATAAATTAGAATGTTATTTTTTTTTAATTTAATTATAAGGTATACCTTAATGATGATAAATTCCTTTTAATAACGCAAAACTAATGATTGTCGTTCCGCCATTACAATTATGACCTCCATTAAGGTCTCTTTAAAGGTTTAAGTTTTTGTGCAACAACTTATTGTTCGCAGTTCCTTATTATCTTTTTCACTTTGATAATTCCTACAGAAAGAAACAAACTTTTGCAGTAAAATTATTTTTACGAACAAAAAGACCAATTCTTTATTAGTAAATTTTGTAATCCTTGAAAGTTATGTTTATCTATGCTTGGAAAGAGCTAAAATCTTTACTACTAATAAAGTATTTTGTGCCATTTTTGTTATGCGTACTGAGAAGTATGCAATAAATGTTGTTATCGTGTACACCGCCTGCGTGCGTCACTAAAAAACAGTGAAAACGCAAGATGTACAAGAAATTGTTACTCACTTATATTTACGATATTTCGGCGTACTTTATTTTTCTTATAAATAAAATATGAATATTTCAGCGTTGAAAGAAGATATTCATTACATCCTAAAGTTACCTTCAATAAAATTTGTTTTGTTTGTTGGAGTGTTTGTACGGGGAAATAAATTAAGATGCACTTCAAACCTTATTACTGAAATACGATGGTCAATATTTTGCCTAATTTCAGTTGTTTTTGATGACGTATTTATTGGGAACATCACACATTATTATGAAAATCAAACTGTAGTTTAACTTCCAATGATATTTATAATGTGTAGTTTTCATGGGAACATGTTATTTAAATTACATTACAAGAATAAATCTTTTTACCTCAGTACTCTTCAAATAAAGCCAGACCTTGCTTTATAAATGTGCTGCATAAAGTTACGTTCAAGTTGCCAAATCGGGAAACAGGCGCGCTAACAACTTTGTTGGTCGACAAAGCAAACCTAACATGCTAGTTACCTCGACATAAATTACTCCATATATTCTGGTAATATGATTTATTAACAAGGTGAAGAAGTATATTTGTAAATAAGGTTATTCAAATTTTCTGAAGTCAACATTATCATTTTCCTATACTATATGTGGTTGCAAGCTACAGCATTTTGTCCTCCGCGTATACTTTACATACGTAATTTCCTTCGTCACCTCTTTCATAAACCATTTCCAATAAAACATGTGTTGTACTAAAATCCTATCATTAAAAACAAATAAAACTACATATTTTGACGAAAATATATAGCTTTTTTATATCTTAGCGAAATCGTGGTTGAAATCACGTACTGTCTGTTTTGTCTCACACAGATTTAAGCGAGATCGTAAAACTGCGATCAGGGGAATACATTCCATCATACTGTCATTGCTAAAATAAACCCTCAAACGAATACATACGTTTTACAGCAGAAGCTAAAATAAATCGATATTTGGAAGAATTGCTTTTGTTATTGTTGTACAACAGGATGTTTACTGTGTGTCGAAAAAGAGATCGCCACAATTTTCTAAAAAACAATTTTTTTACAATTTTATTTCTTGGAACTTTATTTAGCTCTGGATGCAACGTACAATATTGTAACACACATTGTCCTCGTTAAATAAAAATGTTTTCATGATTATTAAACGCTTAATAAATAATTCATTAATTTGGAAACAGTAAACACATTGTTAACTCAAACAACAATTATATAAAGTGCTCAGTAAATAATAGTAATGTGCCATTAGTTATCACATTCTAATCTGTTTGAAAATCGTTGTAGAAATTACTTTGGTAGTATGATGGTTACCAACCAATTTCATCTACTTTACATTCTCGTGAATTCTCTGATGAAGTAGATATTATTAGACATCTTTGTTATCTTCAAGTAGTTTACCTCGATTCCTAATTTAATGTTTTCATGTTTCAGGACGACGTCGCCGCCGGGCGAGCCACTGGTGGTGGGTGGCAAG